GACAACATTTGTTGAAGTAGGATAAAATACTTTATTTCTAATCATTACATCAATTAGAGAACACGAGTTAGATGAAACTCTCGTAGGAGATTGAACCGTATTTAATAAGTTATTTGAGAGCAACAGATTTAATAGAGTCTTTTGAAGTGAATTCTTTTGGAGTAAGTTTATATTCCAGTCCCCACATATTACTAACAAGCAACCTTTGTTTAGTACCCTATTTATAGCCTCATCTATTTGATTGAAGAACATTTTTACGTCACTATTTGGAGATCTGTATACACAGATTACAATGATTTTAAATTTCACTATTTCAATAGCTGATATTTCCAGTGTTTTTTCTCTACCAAAGTTTTTTAATGGAGAAACCTCTCTGATCTTAATTGATTTGGAAACAAATATACAAGAACCACCATGCTTATCATTTATTCTACAAAAACTATCCGCAAGTTTATATTGATCAATATTTATATGCAAGATTTGATCACTTAAAAGCCAGTGCTCCGAAAAGCATAAAATATCTGGCTTTTTGGGCCATTGCGAGAGCAGTGCATTTAATTCTAGTAATTTGTTGCTCAGACTTTGTACATTGTGATGAAGAATACTCAAATACTGAGTTAAATTTGAACTTTCTTTAGGGGGATGGAAAGTTGACTTAAATGGATGTCTACCATAAAAAATCTTTATTTCGTTTAAGGGGGTGTCGTCGAGTTCTCTTTGCTGGTGCGCAAATATCAATATGTGAGGACACTACTATTACAATGTCATAAATATAAAATATCCTTTAACAATTACTGTGATGTGCTTGAATTTATTAAAGCATTTATAAATAATTATAATTAATCTATTTACAAATATTTTTAAAAACGTTTTGTTATTATCTAGAACCAATTTGGTTTGTGTATTTATACTTCTTCTCTTTATGTTAAAGCTACTGTACTGGAATAGCAGAAACTTCAGGCCTAATATTTTTGTTTAAGTTTTTCCAAAAAAATGTGTATTATTTGCATACACTTTTCTTTCAGTGTGTTCCACAAATTAAAAGCCACAAGGATTTATATTAGGTGATCATGGATGCCACTGTCCTGAACTTAAGACTCATTCACCCAGGTCCTCATCTGCTGCATCCATAGAATTTTTCATAGCTTGTGTTGTTGCATTATCTCATATAAAATACCTGTACAGTTTTATTCTTCATCGGTTAGTTGATAGACATGGACCCAGTCATCCTCTGCACATTAGTGGAAACTCTGTTAAATCATGCAGTGACACTTCATGAACAGCATACAGATTTTCTGCTCTCCAGTATGTATTATTTTGGCTGTTTATGTAACCTCTTAAAGTGAACTAACTGTATGTCATCAGAAGAAAGTTCTTGGTCAAGAAGTTCATTGATTACCATTTCCTGAATCCACCTACTATATCAGATTCTTGCTTCTCAATCTGGAGGTAAAAGGCCATGTACAACTGTAGTTTTGTAAGGCCATAACTTTGGCAGTTTTTTTACCAACATCAATTTTACATTTTACGAACTCACAATGAAGACCCAAAAGATATAAGACTTCTCTTGGCTTGCTTATAATCAAGTACAGGTGTCATCAAGTTATTCTTTATTCTGTAAACATCTTTCTTGACATCTTTTTTCATCCATCACTGATCCTGTAGAACATAATTTTGGTGTGATATTTTGAATCATTCTACATAGCACTGTAAAAAGGTAAAGTTGTGCCTGGGCTTAACTAATCAAGCACTGCAACATGAAGGCATATGGGGGAGTGCATGTATAGATACACATTTTCTTGACCTCTGCACTAGTTGGAAGTGAGTGGTCAGCTTCACACCCCTGCCTCTTTACTCCCAGTGAGAGTCCCCAGTGCAAATTGGGTAGGAGGCTGGGTGGGCCCCAGATTCGGTCTGGATGCTGTGGAGAAGAGAAAATTTTTGACCATACTGGGACTTGAACTTCGACTCCTCAGTCGTCCAGCTCATAGCCAGTCATTATACTGACTATGGTATCCTGGTTCCCACATGGCACTATATTGTAAGGAAGCTTTCTGTGGATTTCCTCCATGAAGAATGCTGGATAAAGCATTTGTTCAGCACTACATTTCACAACACTGAACTGTTGTACATATCTCAAGGACAGCTAACTGTGACAAACAAGCAGCATCAAGCACCTGAGTGACGGTTCAGTGGCCAACAGTGGGCAGGCTTTGGCAAACAGATTTGTGGCTGCCCAGTATAAGGGTATATTGGATTCCCTGTATAACATGTAACCATTTAAATATGTGCCTTGCATGCAGAACTGTGTCTCATATTATATCAGAACTTTTTATGAGGACTGTCTGTTTGTTTCCTGATTCTGTGAATGATCTTCCTTGATGTCTGCACTTGGAATTCTTTTCTCCATTCATTCTGCTATTGCAGAATTCCTAATTTGGGGAAGTGTGATAATGAAGATTGCAAACTAGTGCAAACAGCCCAAGAAAAATTTAGTGAAATCTTCAAGAACAAAAAGTAGGATATTTCTGGAATGAAAAAAAAAGTATGAACACTTTATGTTTAAAATTACTAGTGCATGAAGCTAACAACCCAGTCCCCCCCCCGAGATATTTAGATTTTAAATGTGATTTTACTATTTTGGATCTAAAGTTCTCACAGTGGTGAATATGAAGAATATGATCTAGGTTGTAATGCTATGTAGTTTGGAAGGTTACCAACATTTCAGAGGAACATGTCAACTCCATCTTGAGGATAGAAGAGTAAGCAGAACAAGAAAAAAGCAATAAATGAGTGGCTAGCATTACTGAAGTACACAGTGTTACAACTCAGAAGATTGTACTCTTCAAATTTCACTATTGTTTTGCGATGTTACAAGGGCCCTTGTACCTTGTACCATGTTAGGAGCAGCAAAGGGTTAAATTAGAAGTGCATATAAGGTCTGAAAAAGCAAATCATGATGTTTGTATTTCATAATTTAAATGTGAAGTTAGGGTTTCAAATGTACTCTATACTTGATGTATATATGAGTCAACTTTTGCAACTTATCACAGAAAGACCTGATGTCATAAAATCTAGTAATGCCCAAACCCCAAAATGTTAATAGCCTCCATATTATAATCTTCAAACAAAAAAACTTCTGAATCTAATAAGTTGTCTGATACAGTGATCCACAGTCAACACATTTATTTTGCTGTTTTTATTAATGTGACTTATTTTTTTATTTTATTTTATTTCAGGCAATATTGCACTGCATATATTTTCAAGAAAAGCAAGATCTGTTTATGATCTGGAATCATTATGGTCAGTAGGGTCAGAATATGATCTGGTATACAATAAACCTGATGACCCCTTAATTACTTTACTGCAACAACATTCAGTGTATCTTGGTGGTCTGCAACCTGCAGAAGGTATATCTGAAAATACTAATGGTTGAAAGTACAGTAAAACCTCTTGAATTTGGACTAATTGGAGGAAAGGGGTAGTCTGAATTAGTGAAAAGTCTGTATTATAGACCATAAGTGTATGTAAATATTTTCATGTTGTAGTTCTCTTTAAAACCAGAATATTATATTGTTTTAAATACAAATTAGGCCCTACATATGTATTTTGATACTTGTCTAAGCAGAATCTAGGTGAGAAATTGTATCTTCCATTCCATTCCACATACTACATAAAATACACACCTGAAAGAAAGAAGGCAGTTAAAATTATATAGGGTGGGAATTATTTAGGATTGGACCACCTCAGTGGTCTAGTGGTCAGCGTTCTTGGCTACAGATCCAGAGGTCCGGGTTCGATTCCCGGCGCTACCAGATTTTTTCTGAGAAATAGTGGGTCTGGAACGGGGTCCACTCAGCCTAGTGATGATAATTGAGGAGTTATTTCAAGGAAATAGCGGCTCTGGTCTAGAAAACCGAAATTAACGCCCATGGGGATTTGTTGCGCTGACCACGTGACACCCTCTATCCACAAAAGATGGCATTGAACTTCACCGACAAGCGGCAGTCGCTCGGTCGGTATAGTTCGCTTGCGGACTAAAATAATGGAGTTTGTTTGTTTTGTTTGTTATTAGTTAGGATTCACTGTATGTTGAAAACGTCAGTGAACAGATAATTTTCATTGTATGCCTTATGCTGTGAATAATACTGTTATTTGTAAATAAATAAGAAATGTTGAATTCCATGAAAGATATCTCATCATACATCTATGAGATTCTTCTTCCATCTAGTTACAAATAACATTTATCCAGATTACAGCAGATGCCAAATATGCTCTCTTATACATTACTGGCACTTTTGTAACATGTTTACATTCATATATTGAAGCTTCTTTTTGGAAAGAGAGGAAAGTAGAAATTTGAAACTCCTGTCTCCTGGGCAAGGGATCTGAGGAACTTAATGTTCAGGCCAAGCACAAATGTTAGCCAGTTTCTCTTTAGTGAGCACTCCATTTCAAGTACAGTTTTTATTTTCAGTAAAAAATAAAAAGAAAGTCAGTAGGTCTTGAACAGTCTCATTACAACATCAGAGAGGATTTTCAGCATCTGCTGTAATGCGAGTAAGTTTTATTAGTTAATTTGTTGTGTGTGTCAATTCTTTGAGTAGGCCATTTCTCTGAAGCCTGAATGGTGGAGTGTCAGACTCCTCTGCCTGAACAGCTGAAGATTTTGCAGGAAGCCCAAAGTATGCTGTACTGTATATATCATGGGAAAAGTACGTCTGTCTGGCTTACTTGGAAAATACCCAGCACAAATCACAACTGATCACTAGCTATCATGAGTAATGTGACTAAGGTTTTTTTATGGGTTTCTTTATTCCCTCCAGCATGTGTCACAATTTGAACCTAAAATTACTCCTTGTATTGCATTGTTCTTCTGCCATTCACAGCCATCATCCTCTCATTCAATATAACATTAATCCTGCATCCTATGTAGTCATTATGTTATTTCTTTTATTGCTAGTAGGATGGGACTAAGTCCCTTGTATTGCAGCCACTTCTGGCCTATTGTACCAGCCCCAGATGACAGGTGAGGGTGATTGTGGAGCAATTGGTGGAATGAAGATTGGCAGGGGAAACCAAAGTACTCGGAGAAAACCTGCCTCAGCGCCACTTTGTCCACCACAAATCCCACTTGACCAGACCTGGGGTCGAACCCGGGCCGCCGCAGTGGGAAGCCAGCGACTAACCGCTTGAGCTATGGCATGTAGTCATTATGTTAAGTAAGCTGTGAAGATTGGCCGCGCCATAACTGAAGCAGTTAGTCACTGGCTTCCCACTGTGGTGGCCTGGGTTTGATCCCGGGTCTGGTCAAGTGGGATTTGTGGTGGACAAAGTGGCGCTGGGGCGGGTTTTCTCCGGGTGCTTCAGTTTCCCCTGCCAATCTTCATTCCACCAAGTTCTCCATCATAATCACCCAGGGCAGGCTACAATAGGCCAATCAGTGGCCACCATGCCAAGTGGACCCACTTGGACTCCACCCCCCAACTAAGCGAATTAAAAAAAAATTGAAGATTTGTTTTTTTCTGGAACATAATGTTGTGTACTCCATTGAAAGTTATCCAACTTTTTCGAGGAACATGTCACATCCATCTTCAGGGTTGCCAAGTAAGCCAAACATTTAGGCTGAAATGTAAATAATTAATAAGACAGAGCCTCAAAGTGTGAATTCAGTATATGGATGGAGTTGCACAGAGACAGTGAAGTGAGAATCATACAATTGGAGTACACAGTGCAACAGGATATTTCAGTACAAGAAACCAGCTTTGCTTGCTGTCCACTTTGTGCTGGAGACGATGCTAGTGCCAGTTGTTGTAGATCCCAGAAATGGTGTCATTAGGCCTTAAGAAATAGAACTTAAATAAAAGTTGTTTTTTTTTTTCTTTTTTGGCAAAAAGGAAATACAGTATATTGGCCATGTAAAATATGTTATCCATTTGGGAGCACAAAGTGATGAATCCCTGTATCTTGGGATGCAAAATTTAATATGGAGATGGGCCATTCATATACCTATATTTTTATATGAAACATTTTTCTAGTATCAGTACATTCAAAGTTCAGAATATGGCAATAATGTTAAGCTTTCAGGTAAAAAAAAAAGTAAAGGTGTCCCTTTAACAGGCTGTGGAGGCCCATAGGGTTGTGAGATGTTGAGGCTCCCACATTTTCTAGACAGTCGGCTTGTAGATGGTGGTGAGGTTATCTGACTTATGTGCTGGCCGCCCTTTACCCCCAGGAATATACCTGGTACTCACTTCTGTTAGAGGCTGAGTCGCCTCAGGGCCATACTGCGGCTGGAAGGATTAGGTAAATTGAAAAAATTCACCACATCAGGATTCGATCCTGTGACCTGGCTTTAGCATAATGCCTCAACCAACTACACTCTTATTAATATATATTGTGACATGTTGCGCAAAGGAGAACACTCCCACCAGCAGTGACTCGGCGGGTGAGTCAGCGCTCCCCTCCACCTCCTCCGCACAGTAACGTAACGGTGACGCAACAGGATTGCGAGAGACGACGGTGGTAACAGTGGTTACTAGCAACACGGCGCCAGGCAACAAGGGTGTTATTACGTGGCCGTTTTCTGTATGGTCCGATCGAGGCTACGTGAGGCGCAGCGAAGGCTATTCACAGTTAGTCCTGGAGCTACCTACGAGTCAGTCCTGGAGCTACCGCCGAGTGAGTCCTAAAGCTACCTCCGAGTTAGTTCCGAGTCAGTCAGCCAGTCAGTGCGTTACCAACGAGTTCTCAGTTCGCAAGTTACGAGCTACAGACGCGTGTGCGATAACCAGTGATAACCAGTTATATCTGGAGTGTGTAATTCAGGGAGACTTGTATAGCTCCCGCGTTATTAATACGTGAAGACTCTTGAAGATAGTGTTAAGAGATTTTGTTGTAGGGTTTGTAAAGTGTGGAAACCCGTAATATTGTGATAATTAATTGTAGCCGTTATTTGTAGGTTGTTAAATAAACCAATTAACTATCTCTACGGCGGGATCAGTAATGCAAACACGTTACAATATATAAAAAAAAAAACTGTGGCTTTAGTCCGCAAGCGAACTATACCAACCGAGTGACCTTTGCTTGTCAACGAAGTTAATGCCAACTTTAGCAGATAGAGGGTGTCGCGTGGCCAGCACAACGAATACCCACGGCCATTTATTAATATTGTGACATGTTGCGCAAAGGAGAAACCCTCCCCCACCAGCAGTGACGCGGCGGGTGAGTCAGCGCTCCCCTCCACCTCCTCCGCACAGTAACGTAACGGTGACGCAACAGGATTGCGAGAGACGACGGTGGTAACAGTGGTTACTAGCAACACGGCGCCAGGCAACAAGGGTGTTATTACGTGGCCGTTTTCTGTATGGTCCGATCGAGGCTACGTGAGGCGCAGCGAAGGCTATTCACAGTTAGTCCTGGAGCTACCTACGAGTCAGTCCTGGAGCTACCGCCGAGTGAGTCCTAAAGCTACCTCCGAGTTAGTTCCGAGTCAGTCAGCCAGTCAGTGCGTTACCAACGAGTTCTCAGTTCGCAAGTTACGAGCTACAGACGCGTGTGCGATAACCAGTGATAACCAGTTATATCTGGAGTGTGTAATTCAGGGAGACTTGTATAGCTCCCGCGTTATTAATACGTGAAGACTCTTGAAGATAGTGTTAAGAGATTTTGTTGTAGGGTTTGTAAAGTGTGGAAACCCGTAATATTGTGATAATTAATTGTAGCCGTTGTTTGTAGGTTGTTAAATAAACCAATTAACTATCTCTACGGCGGGATCAGTAATGCAAACACGTTACTATATAAAAAAAAAAACTGTGGCTTTAGTCCGCAAGCGAACTATACCAACCGAGTGACCTTTGCTTGTCAACGAAGTTAATGCCAACTTTAGCAGATAGAGGGTGTCGCGTGGCCAGCACAACGAATACCCACGGCCATTTATTAATATTGTGACATGTTGCGCAAAGGAGAAACCCTCCCCCACCAGCAGTGACGCGGCGGG